AATTGAAAAATGTAATAAAAAAAGATGCATGTCTTAATTATATTAACACTTCATTCTTTTTCTCATTCCCACCACGTTCGCTGGTGTAAACATGCACAGTTTCATTCATTTATTCATTCATTCATTCATTCATTCATTCATTCATTCATTCATTCATTCATTCATTCATTCATTCATTCATTCATTCATTTAATCACATTGATAAATAAATGAATAAGTAATTAAACTTGAAAATGAGTTAATGGATAGATGGGTATCAATAGATAAATGACTTCAACAGATGAATGGGCGAATGAATGGATGCGAGTAAATAAAAGAATGGATGGATGGACGGACGAACGGACGGTTTGATGGATGGATGGATGGATGGATGGATGGATGGATGGATGGATGGATGGATGGATGGATGGATGGATGGATGGATGGGGTTGATATCACGTTACACTCTTCTGCAAACAATTATCTCCCCTCTGTCAATCTTCCTCTAACTTCCATTACTATTCTCTTAAACATTTTTTCATTCTGGTTATGTTTAAAAATTCAATCCTATTTTTTTTGCTTTTTCCAAATTTTTAATTTATTAAAAATCCGAAAATTAATAATAATTAAGTTATTAAATAATATCGTCATTAATTGTGGTTTTTTTTACGTCGTTGTAGTAATCAAAAGGTGTTGTTGCAAGAGTTGTTGAATTCAAAACAACGTCTGATCACCTTATAGATTAATAAATTTATTTTATGGGTTACAATAATCTTCGTCGTCATCATTATTTTTTCCATCATCATCTTTTTCCTGATTCTCATCATCATCATCTTCATCATCTTCATCGTCATCATCTTCGTCCTCACCATCATCGTCGTCGTCATCTTAATCATCATCATCTAAGTCATCGTCATCATATTCGTTAACATCATCCTCATCTTCATCATCCTCTCCGCCATCATATACGTCATTATTATCATCATCTTCTTCATCTTTTTCGTCATCATCCTCTTCATAGCCTTAATTTTTTTCAGATTAACTCAAAAATTTTTCATTCCATCTCACTTGTTAAACAAGTCTAATGGGTGCAAATGTAGCAATTGATTGATGTCTATAAAGGAAAAGAGAGAGAGAGAGAGGGAGAGAGAGAGGGAGAAAAAAAAAGAAGAGAAATAGAGGAAGAAAGAAAAAAAGTGAAAGAAATATGAAAAAGAGAGAGAAAGAGAAAGATATATTTTCATTTTATGTTTATTTAGAATCATCACCAGTGAGGCAATGTTATCGCAATCTCGTAACCATCATCATCCTACTGCAAGGTGATAAAACGTAATTAGTTAAACAAATTTCTTTGATGTGTTGTAATTAGTTAGATCACAATCATCGTTACCACCATCGACTTTGAAATTAAATTAAATTAAATTAAGAAGTTTATTAAATGTCAAAGCCGTTTCTTTTGATTTGTAGCTAATGGATGTTCACAACATATGTGCTTAAATAAATATACATACATACATACTCACAAACAAACATATACACAAACAAACATACACACAAACAAACACACACATATGTAGGTGTATGTCTGTCACAAAATGATAACAAACCCGATGATGACGTATAGAAATACATTGATGAATTAAAACCTCGAAATAAAACCTCAAAAAGAATAAAAAGTAAATACAGGCAGCTTTAAGATATAATCATTGAATCACACTTAAGAATTGAAATAAAACACTTGACCTGAACATTAACCCGAAAGTAATTGCGCCATTATATTCTATAATTAGCTCTCTCTAATCAAACTTAAGAAATAAAAGCAACCTCGATTTTTTTACTGTCTATTTCTCATTCAAACAAATAACTGAGATTAGAAGACACAAAATAAGGTTAGAAAATGTCAAAGTCGTCATGACATTGACATCACCGTATCATGACCGGACTATATTATGACGTCATTTTTTTTCTCTATTCCACTTCCTGTAAGGAATCTAATGGGAAGAAGATATGCTGTTAGGGCCACGCTAGGAGTACGAAACGCTACAAGAATGTGACTTTTTGGAGTTAAAAATATATTTTTTTATCATTATTTTCTTAGAAAGGAAAGAGGTTATTATTATTATTATTATTGTTGTTTTTGTCATTATTATTGATATTATTATTGTTATTATTATTTATATTATTGTTATTATTATTATTATTATTATTAGGACCCAACAGGACAGGCGTACGTCAGGGCGAGGTACGTGAGGTTGAAGTTTCAAAAGATGCAGACCCCACAAGCTGTCAATCAAGTCGCAGAAAACAACAACGACAATAATAATAATAATAACAACAAAGACAACAACAACAATAAAATCAGCAAGAGTATCAACAACAATAACAACAACAACATCAACAACAACATCAACAACAACAACAAACACATCAACAGTTTGTTACTACACAGTGTAAGTTTATTTTGCTGTACCAGGCTGTTAGATTAGGATTAATTGAAAAGATAACGAGAATTGATTGAGCGTGTAAATGGATGACGAAACTATTTACAAAGAAAGGAATGGATGTATTGATGAATGAATGAATGAACGAATGAATCAATCAATCAATCAATCAATGAAGAATGAATGAATAAAAAATTGTTTTTATTAAATAAAATAATAATTATGAAATATTTTATTCCAAGTATTTTTACTCGATCAAAGACATTAAAGTGCTGGCTAGACTAAACAACAACATCAACAAAAACATCAACAAAATGAACAACATCATCAACAACAACAACAAAAGAAATCACAACAACAAAGACAACTTCAAACATTACGTTATTAACAGTGTCAGGACCAAAAACATCAACAACAACAACAACAACATTGTTAACAATGGCTTTAAAAATGTCATCAAAAACAACAGAAACAGCAACAACAATAATGACATCATCACCAACAACAACAACAACATCCCAAACAAAGACATAACGTCAAATGATTCCACTGCTTACAATGATGATGAAGAGAATAAACCTAACATTCAAACCAATAATATAAACATTGATAAACATTCAGACACAGGCAACAACAACATCAACAACAACAACATCATCAACAACAACAACAACATAGGCAACAATAATCCAAATAACATCAACACAAATAACATCAACGTAAATCACAACATTAACCCCGTCAAAAAATACAACCACCATAATGACGAAGATAAAATAAAACCTTCTTTCTTCAGAAAAGTCCATAAAAACGAAATAAAACATTTCGAGACTGAATACAAGCACAACAGCGCTAACAACAAAAACAATTACCTAAACGGTAATAAAAACATCAACAACAACTACTACAACTACATTGACGACGTTAATAATAACATCAACATCAACAACAACAACATCAACTCCTTTAATGACATCGATAAAAACATTAACAACAGTATTAACCATTTCAATAAAATCAACAACGTAGAGAATAACGCCATTTACAACTACCTTAGTAATAAAAACAACAACAATAACAACGACAACATAAACAACGACATTAACTACTTCAACGACATCAGCCTGAACAACTATAACATCAACACCACCAACAACAACATTAGCATTGTGGCTGTAAAAAAGTGCATTGATAAATACACAAACAAAGACATTAACAACAACAACATCAACGTCAACAACAACGTCAACATCAACAACAACATCAAAGGCATCAACAAACACGACATGTTATGCATCAGAGAATTGGTAAAAATGTTGGACAACATATCGACGGATATAGCGGCTCTCTTCAAACATGTCAACATTCACCGACAAATCGACTTCCACAACGAAACTCTCAACCGGTTGACGGTAACCGATCCATCTTTATTAATTTTTTTTATATAATTTTTACGAATTTCTTTTCATAGATGTCTATAAATTTTATTTTAAAAATTTACACCATTTTTAAAATTGATTCTATTTTTATTACGTCTTGCGTTGTTTTTCTTTGCATTTATTTAAAAATCATTTCTGAATGTTCTTTCTTTTTCATGTTGTTTTTTTTGTTTTATTTGTAATTTCAAAATGATCTGGGATCGTCTCAATTGCTTGAGTTTAAGAAAAAATTTCATCCGTTAAGCGTACATGAAATTAAATTATCAAACTTCGCAATCACATGCAGCAACAACAACAAAATATAGAACAACAACAACTAAATAAAATACAATAACAACTAAGTAAACAACAACTAAATAAACAACAACAACTAAATAAACATTAACAACGAAACATGATCATTTCACTATGATGAAAATAATTCATACCGACAAAACATCCATACCGAATACTCGATACCTACATACAGTCGGATATAAAGCAACTACTCCTCAACTTACCAATACCGAAGATGGCCGATCAACTGTCGGAGCTGTTGACTGAAGCGAATCTCATCAACGAAAAGGTAACCCGATATTCGGTTGACTACCGGTGCGAATACCGATTGAATGTTTTTTAATGTTGATTGCTTGTTGTTTCTTCAGATGGAGTCGTTTGATGATTTTGAGTTTACATCCAAGTAACCAGATATTTTGCGTTAGTGAAATTGTATCACTTGTCGAGTTATTAAGTAGGTCATTGACCTAATAAAATGTTGATTATTGAGTTAATAAGTAGGTCATTGACCCAATAAGTTGTTGAATATTGAGTTAATAAGTAGGTCATTGGCCTAATAAGATGTTGATTATTGAGTTAATAAGTAGGTCATTGGCCTAATAAGATGTTTATTATTGAGTTAATAAGTAGATCATTGGCCTAATAAGATGTTGTTTATCGAGTTATTAAGTAGGTCATTAAAAAAATAGGTTGTTAATTATTGAGTAGGTGAACAAATCATTCGTTGAATATAAGGTTTGTTGAAAATTAGCAAAAGATTTTATTTTCTTATAATAAAAGAATTTAAAATGAGTATTAATAAGAATGACGTTAAAAATTTGAAAATATTGATTGAATTGTAAATTTATCAAAAACAAATTGCTGAAAATAAAGCTAAAATGTCAATTTTATTTTACAAATGTTTTGCAAAATGTTGAGAGGCACTCCTTTGGATGGAGGATAATTATTATTTTCCTACGCAGATTGCAATGGTAACAAAATATCAGGATGATGACGAAGACGATGATGGTGATGACGAGATAGAAGAAGATGATGATTATGACGTCACAGGTTGCTATGATGATAATGATAAGGAGGAGGTTTGTCAAAGTGAAATTAAACCTAGTGGTGATGATGATGATGATAACGATGATGGTAATGATGATGACGACAAGAGAAAGATGTGCCTGACCAGAAACATCCACAAACTAACGGACGTCGTGATTGGCTGTCAGACTCACCAGAAAAATGTTATGAAGCAGCTGATTGGTTAGTGAATAGTAACAATAGATACTCTAGAAGTAGTAATAGTAGTAGTAGTTGTTAGTAGTAGTAGTAGTAGTAGTAGTAGTAGTAGTAGTAATAGTAGTAGTAGTAGTAGTAGCAGCAGCAGAAGAAGAAGCAGTAGTAGTAATAATATTAACGTTTTAGCGCAAATATAACTAACACCCTCCTCACTCGAATCACTGATTACAAAATTTAGCTGGTCTGCAAAAATTGCAAGAGATGAATGAAACATTATCTTCATCGTTATCGTCGTCATCGTCGTCCTCACCATCATCATTGTCCTCATCATCATCCTCTATGTTGGTAACATCAAAATCTTTCTGGGACAACGGCAATCACAGTAGAAATGACATTAACAACAACAACAACAGCAGCAACAACAACAGCAACAATAGCAACAACAACTACAACAGCAACAACAGCAACAGTAACAACAAAACTTACAAGTTTTTAAACGAATCAACAGCTACGTTCAACAGCATCAAATCATTTAATATATCCATCGATCCGTATCGCGAAGAACTCAAGTCTGTATTTATGATGATGAGGAAGATGACGACAACGATGATGATGATGATGATGTTACTATTGCTACTGCTGCTGATGATGATGATGACAATGATGATGATGATGACGATGATGATGATGATGACGATGATGATGATGATGACGATGATGATGATGATGACGATGATGATGATGATGACGATGATGATGATGATGACGATGATGATGATGATGACGATGATGATGACGATGATGATGATGATGACGATGATGATGATGATGACGATGATGATGATGATGACGATGATGATGATGATGACGATGATGACAACGATGACCATTTTATCAGTATCATTATTTCATTTAACCTCTGACACATCAACAACATCAACCCACAACAGCATCACGTGATGTAACGTCACGTGATGTAACGTCACGTGACATCAACACGAGATAATGATAATGACGATGATAACGATGACATCATTGAGACGTCGATTATGACAATGACGACTACAGAATAACCATACTTATTTCAATATAAAATTAAAAATTTGTGATCGAAACTATGGGCTATATAATCTATATAATGAACCTTTTTAGCCTAGCAAAGCAGCTCCTTCTCAGGGTGCAGGTTCTAAAGAGGAACGCGTCGAACGCCAAACATCCAACTAATTCCACTGCATTACAAAAATTAAATAAAATTTCACTAAAACTCCAACATCTATCTAATTTGAATGACGAAATTGATGAAAAACTTTCCGCCACTAATGAGATTAGCTCGATGTTGAAAAAGGACTTTGATGAATTAAAGGTTCTTTTTTAAACCAACTCGCCTAATATCTTAAACATATTTATATAATTTTTTTGAAAAGTAAAATATTGATATTAATGTTAAATTTAAATTTATGTTAATTTTAACAATGATATTTTTCAAAATGTAGTTTTTTAACAATAATATTTTTCAACAACTGCGACAACAACAAAAACAAAACTTACAAGTATTTAAACGAAGCAACAGTTATGTTCAACAGCATCAAATCATTTAGTAAAATATCCATGTAGTTTTTTAAATTTAAATTTTTAATATGTTGAAGGTTTTGGAAGGGACGAAAAAAGTGAATGAGGGAAAAATGCGGGAGGTTTGTGAGGAATGGAGCAGTGGTATGGAGCTGATGGAAGTGGAAAGTCTAAAGTGGAACAGAAGCCATGACTTGCTAAAATTTGTTTGTTTTGTTGTTGTTGTTTATGTCGTTGTTGGTTGTGTTGTTGTTGATTTTGTTGTTGTTGTTGGTTGTGTTGTTGCTGCTGTTGTTGTCGTTGTGTTGTTGTTGGTGGTGTCGTTGTGCTGTTGTTGTTGTCGTTGTGTTGTTGTTGGTTGTGTTGTTGTTGTTGGCTGTGTTGTTATTGTTTATTTTGTTGTTGTTGTTGTTGTTGTGTTGTTGTTTTTTGTTGGTTGTGTTGTTGTTGTTGTTGTTGATGATCGTGATGATGAAAGTAAAGATGATGGTGGTTGTGAGGATAATTACAATTGTGATAATGTTGATGATATTGTTGAGGCAGCTGTAGTCGATTCTGCTGCTGTCGTGGTCGGTAGTGGCAGCAATGTGAACTTTGCCCCTAACACTAATAATCATGCTGGCATTAATTGGTGAATCTTTTTTCACTTTCTTGTACTCACCTTGTAGCAGCAGCTGTTGAGTGAGTTGAAAAATTTCACCAACATTGGTGATGTAATTGCAACTGCAACACAACCCTCATCAACAACAACACCATCGTCATCATCAACAACATCATCAAAATCATCAACATCATCGTCGTCATCATCACCGTCAAGAGTTTTTTCCGCGTTTTTAACTTCCTATCAGCAAATTAAAAATAAATGCCTACGACTTGAACAACAGAATGCTAACATGCGAAAGTGAGTGTAGTTCTGTTGTTGTTGTTATTATTATTGTTAACATTGTTACTATTATCGTTAATGTTGTTTATATTTTGTTATTGTTATTATTGTCATTGTTATACTAATATTGTGGTTATTGTTATTGTTATGATGTTAATGTTACTAGGCCTAGTTGTTAAGATCGCTTGATCTTGCTGTTACGCAGTGACCGGGTTCGAATGCGACCTAAGGATCCTCGCCTATCACGACGCATCGTGTGCGATGCGTCGTTTGGCGTGTATTCGTCTACGCTGTTTACGTGTTCTTAAGACCTCTGAACTTTCGAATAGTGTAACAGACGTTTGACCTTTAACCATTTACCTTTAACCTTTAATCTTTTGGTTGTTGTTATCATTATTGTAGGAGAAAGTTGTGGTAGTAGCAGTAAACGCATAAATGTCAAATAAACATTTACAGTATGAAGATAAACACAAACAAAATATAAGCAATAAATATCGCGCGTAAATTTTATCTTGAAATAATTTTTATAAAAAAAATTGTTGTATTTCAAACATTAGCATAAACGTCATCATAAACATAAACATTTCCATAAACACGACGTTAATGATGCTATAAAAGGGTCATTATTTATAAACCTTGATGACAATAACACAACCCTATCGACAAAGACATCAAATTTGGTGACACCAACAACAACAACAACATCAACACAGACATTAATGTCTTCAAGATAAACACAAAATATAAACATATCTACACACATACATACACATTAACATAAACATTAAAACATGTTTGTCTTGAAAATATAAACGAAAGGGCTTGCAATAAACATCGTTGTTTTTAGCTTTAACGGCCAATGAACGGTAGCACCTTAAAAATCTCCAGCATAAACAAGAGATAATTGTGAACGCCTTCACAACAAACTATAAAATGATGGCAAGCTATCATCATAAACATCGAAGATACATCAGATTAAACAATAGTTATTCTACATTATTATACATAAGATTAAACAGATTAAACAATTATTCTTTGATTCGTGACAGGATTTAAACATCAGCTTAAGGTCTACAATTTTTTCCCATCGGCTTACAATTTTTGAAACAGGATTGTCGGCCACTCAACCATTGAATCGGCCAGTAGGTTGATTGAGAAAGTCCAATCGCCAAACTATTTTCAATCAGTTGACCGTCTTAGTGTAATCCTTGAAGAAATTTTAAACATTTCCGATGGAGTCGAACGCCAGTCCAAAGACCTGCTACATCAAGTATTTGATGATGATGAAGATGATTGCGGTGATGATGATGATGACGATGATGATGATGGTGGTGGTGATGATGACGATGATGATGATGGTGGTGGTGATGATGATGATGATGGTGACGATGGTGATGATGATGATCGTGATGATGGTGTCACGCGATGAAGATAGTGGCGATGATAAAAGTGTTATCAGTGCCATCGTTACTATCGCCATTATCATCATCGTCACCGTTTGTTTGCAGGCTGACGTTTGCGAAGCCACGGCGGGGAACTTGCAAGGACGGCTGGAGGTGTCAATCAAAGAATATGAGTCACTCATTCGTCGTCGTCATCATCATCATCATGGTGGAGGGGGTGGGAGTGGGGGTGGTGCAAGTGCTATCGACGGTTAGAATGATGAGAATGGTGATGGTGACGGAGACGATGATGAAGAAGATGATGACGATGATGATAGTGATGATGATGACGATGAAGATGATGAAGAAGTGGACGGTGATAATGATGGTGATGACGATGATGATGATGACGACGATGATGATGACGGTGGTGATGATGATGATGAAGAGGAGGATGATGATGATTCGTACGTTGATGATTATGATGACGATAGAAACTTCAATGCGGAGAAATAATACACCATACCAAATCATTATCGGTTTTACATCAGTCAAGAATAAATAATATAAACGTAAAATAACTTGGAAAATGTTCCACCGTAAATTTAGACCTAGCCGCAAAATCATCTAACCTTTCAAAGCGCGTTACCGAAATCAGCGAGTCTCTATCCAACAAATCTTTGACCCTGGCCGCCAAAGTATCCAAAGATTATAAATATCGTTGGTAGTGTTAATTGGATGAATGGCTAATTGTGGATCGGATTATTGGTTAAATTGATTTGTTTGATGACTTGAATTAATTAATTCATTTTTTAAATAATTAACTAATTCATTCATTCATTAATTCATTCATTCATCCATCCATTTATCCATCCATTCATTCATTCATTCATTCTTTCATTCATTCATTCATTCATTCATCCATTCATTCATTCACATTCATTCACTCATTCATTCATAGAGGCAAACATGGTTGAGAGCACAATTCGTGAGGCAAGGCAACAACGACTGAACTTTTCTTTGCATCAAGTTAAACAATTTGAATTGGACATGGCCAAGAGAATTGACGATCTTAGCAAACCAGCCACCAACAGCGGCCACCACAACAACCACAACGGCAGCCATAATAACAGTTACAACAACCACAACAGCAGCCACGGTAACAGCCACAACAACCACAACGTCAATGTAACATTTCCTTTCAGCGGTTCTATTGATATTGAGTCACGTAATGAAAATTTTTCCAATTTAAATAAATTAGCATTGCCACTAGTAGCACAATAACCATAGTCAGAGATATGAATAACGAACCATCATCATCACAATTATCGTCATCATCATCATCATCATCATCATCATCGTTATCACAAACATCATCATCACCATCAACACAATCATTACCATTACCACCATCATCATCAGTACCACCCCCGATGAACGAAACAATGCTGAGTGACCTGAAGGAGTTGGAAACGCAATCAGGGCAGATGATGACGATGGTGATGACGTTGCAGAGAGCAATACAGGAAGTTGTGGTGATGATCAGACAGTCAAGGGCAATTGCTAGTCACGTGAGTTGATGGTGATGATGGTTAAGGTGATAATGGTTATGACGGTGAAGATGACGATGACTATGGTGATGATAATAATACAGTGACGATGGATGGATGGATGGATGGATGGATGGATGGATGGATGGATGGATGGATGGATGGATGGATGGATGGATGGATGGATGGATGGATGGATGGATGGATGGATGGATGGATGAATGAATGGATGTACATCTTTCATTCCAGGTAAACATTCCGTTGAGCCACGAAGGAGGATGTATGAGACGGTACAACATGCGTCCTAGTTATTATCATCATCATCATCTACGTCAACATCATCATCATTTGCATCAACATCATCTTTATCACCATCATTTCTACTCACCTCTCACCAACACCATCGAGCTGAACTTCAAAACTTTCAATTCAAACGTTGACCAGCTTTTATTTCTTTACAGCGGTCGAAAGAAAGTGAGTGGCAGTGATGATGATGACGATGATGATGATGTTGGTGATGATGATAATAATGATGATGATGACCGTTAATAAATGCATTGAAAATGATAACCTTTTAAAACCTGAATATTCAAATAATTTTTGATTGACCATCAAAACCCCACCCACAAGCAATTTATAGCCGTAGAACTTCGTAACAAGAGGATCATGTTCTCGTGGAATTCTGGCATATCCACATTTAGGGTGGAGCATAACATTTTGATTGACAGCTCAAGCTCTGGCAAACTGAAAGATGGTAGTGACCATTGGTACCATGTTAAAGTTGAAAGGTAAGGTGTAAAGCGTATTACATCACTAAATTATTTCCAAACTCTGCATTACATTAAGTTACATCAACGTAGGTTACATTACATTAAGTTGCATTACAAGACAGCAAGTTACATTAACGTGCCATTACATAGTTACATTAAAACAATCTTACATAACATTAAGTAATACTTTACATTGAATTACATTACATGCCGAAATGTATTGTATTTTTGACATTTCGGTCGTAAATAGTGAATAAAAAATATTTGAAAAAACCTTTTAAAAAAATTTTAAATGGAAAAAGAGTGGAGGAAGAAAATAATTTGCGGCTGTCACCATCTCCTTCAAAATGACGCCAGCGTGAAACAAATTAACACCACCATCAACAACAATCAACAAGTCACCAACGATCCATAATAATAATAATACCTCATTTATATAACGCCTTTGTTCATGATATGAAGAACGCTTAGATGAAATAATCCTTCCACAAATTGAGACATTGAAGCATTGGTGATTAGTAGACAAACGCATCAGACGCCTGCTTGGTTATTGAAGGATTGGTTTGCATTCGAACCTTCTCACTGCAACACAAACGACGAGAAAAATCTCCAACGCCCAATAAAAGAACCATCAACTTTGATATATTTGAAACCGAAAAATTTTCAAATATTTAATTTTAAATTCTCCAACTGCCAACAGGATTGGTCACGTCGTCAAACTGACCGTACACGAATTGTTGACGTCATCACGGACGTCATCGTCCTCATCATCGTCACCATCATCACCAGTGACCGTAGTTGAAAGATTTTTACCGGGCCATGTTATGTTGAACATTGGAGATGATGATGAAGATGCCGGTAACGGTGGCGGTAATGATGGTGAGGATGATGAAGCAGCAGATAGTGATGATGATGATAAAGTAGATTATGGTGATGATGATGATACAGTAAATTATGGTGATGATACTTTCATAGGCGGGGTGCCCCCTAATCTAAGGGTAAGTTTCAATTTTGGTAATTTATATATACCATTTCATCGTCTTCATCAGCATTATCATAATTTATGTTGTAAGATCATCATCTTTGGTGTTGTTGCTTGTTGCTGTAGTAGTAGTAGTAGTGATAGTAGTAGTAGTAATAGTAGTAGTAGTGTAGTAGTAGTAGTAGTAGTAGTAGTAGTAGTAGTAGTAGTTGTTGTTGTTGTTGTTGTTGTTGTTGTTGTTGTTCTTGTTGTATAAGTAGTAGTAATAGTAGCAGCAGCAGTAGTAGTAGTAGTAGTAATTGTCGTTGTCTTTAATTCAATTTGCCAAATCTTTTTATAAATTTTCATCACCGCCATATTGACCCAGATACCAGATGACATACATTCCAGCAAGTTCATTGGCTGCATCAGTGACGTCATCGTTGACGATCGTGTGATTGGTTTGTTTGATTTTGACAGATTGTTTGTAAGCAGCAGCAGCAGCAACTTCAAAACAAATGCTGAATACGACGACATTCTTCATTTGAATTACAAAAATTTCAACAACAAAGACTACAACAGTAATCTATACAACAGTGTCTTTGACAACAATTTTAATAAAAACATCAACAACAACAACATCGACAACAACAACAAAAACAACAACAACAACATCAACAAAAACATCAACATCAACAAAAACATCAACAACATACAAAACGACAAAAATATACACGACTGTTCGTCTTGCTTTCCACCGTGAGTTAATTTATAACACTCCATTCAAATTGTTTTAAAATTTAGGTAATTATAAATTGGCCTCATTAATTTCGTTCAGCCAATCAGAGAAGTTCAACGAATTAGAGTACAATTTTCAAAGTGACGGTTACGTCATAATGGATGCTATAAATAGATATGACCCCTACTTGATTGACGTCTCCATGTGGTTCAAAACCATACAAACTGGAGAGGCACTGTTGTTTCTCTGGTTGAATAATATAACGGTTGGTCGGTTGGTTGGTTGGTTGGTCGGTCGGTAGGTCGGTCGTTCGGTCGGTTGGTTGGTCAGTTGGTTGGTATAAATAGATATGACCCCTACTTGATTGACGTCTCCATGTGGTTCAAAACCATACAAACTGGAGAGGCACTGTTGTTTCTCTGGTTGAATAATATAACGGTTGGTCGGTTGGTTGGTTGGTTGGTCGGTCGGTAGGTCGGTCGTTCGGTCGGTTGGTTGGTCAGTTGGTTGGTCAGCTGATTAAATGTATGATTGGTAGAACATTTAATCATTGTTTAATTATAATATTCAATTAGATAATTAAAACCAAGTTTATCGTTCATTCATTCATAAAATTCTGTTAAGTTCATTTTTCAAATTACTCCATCCATTAAGCAATGAATCCATAAAACCAGCAGAACGAATCGATGTCTCTAACTTTAGCGAATGGCAAAGTCCAACTAACCTTTGCCTGGCCAGTACACGACCTGTCAGTAAACTTGGTAACTAATCTGACCTATAATAAAAATATCTGGATCAAAGTTCAAGCTAGGAGGAAAGACATGCAAGGTGAATGTTTGGTTGTTGCAGAGGCGTTGTTGCGTAAAAATTTGTTGATGTACTGTGATGATAATGATGATGATGATGCTGACGATGACGACGATGATGATGATGGTGATGATTCTAACTGAGATTATTACGTCATTTTAATTGAAAGGTTATAATTAAAATAATTATGGTTATAATTAAAATAATTATGGTTATAATCAAAATAATTTATACCATAACTAAATCAAAATAAACCTACCCATACAGCTAAACTACAAGTCGGCACAGAAAAAATTCTGGCAAATATATCATTACCACCACCATCATCGTCTCCATCTTCATCATCATCATCACCCCCATCATCATCATCATCATTCCCATCATCATCATCATCATCATCACTTCCGCTGATGTTACAAGACAGTTACATATACTTTGCTGGATTGCCGGAAAATTTTAAGACATCATCATCATCGCCATCATCATCATCATCACCGACGTCATCATCAACTCTAGCATTTCCATCATCATTATCATCACTCTACTCGACATTACTATTATCATCATCATCCTCACCATACATTGGTTGCATGAAGAATGTAGTGATAACATCCAGGGCCTCTTACTCTATGGACTTTCTGGATGGAAGCTACGTTGGAATGTACCGAGGATGTAGGGGGCAGGTAGGGGTAACTACAATATAATTTATTATTATTATTATTATAATTAATATTAATATTTTTATTATTTCTATTATCATCATTGTTATTATTGTAATATCAAAAAATTATGGTAACCTTAACAAAAAACGTTATCATTATTATTGTTATAACATAATATTGTTAATATATAATTACTAACATAATAATAATTATAACAAACAATAATTATGACAACGCTGGTCATAATTAAACAATAGTAATAGTAATAACATCGCGTCTTTTTTTTCCATGGTTGTTATTATTATTATTACTATTATTACTATTATTGCTATTATTACTATTATTATTATTATTATTATTACTACTACTATTATTATTATTATTATTATTATTATTATTATTATTATTATTATTATTATTTCCCACCTGTCACGTGCAGAAGCTCAAACAACTTGGCTTTCCATACTCCAAAAGTGACAACTCGTTTTTGCAACTGGAGTACCACCACCACCATCATCATCATCAACCTTCAAATCATCATTATCATCACCCAAATCATCATCATCACTTGAATCATCGTCATCATCACTCAAATCATCATCATCATCGTCGTCCAAATCGTAATCATGATCCTGCTCGTCATCCTCATCATCACCATCGTTTGTTAAGTTTCTCATTCTTAATCCTAACCGTCGAGCCAAGCAGTCTGATTATGACGATGACGAAGACGACGACGATGGCGTTAGAAAATCGAAAAATAGTAATTAATAATTATCAAGAATTAATTGTATTTAAAAATTATTTTATAATTTATGATCGTGATTTGGCTGACTGACTCGAGTAACTCTTTTATTGTTAAAATGTTAAACAGTATTAATACAAATAAATTAAACTAGTGATTTGGTTTGCGTTTGAATCTGGTAAGAGAGCGACAATGGTTCTCAGTAACTTAACTATAACGTGTTCTATAGTTTTCACGCTACTTTAACCACTTAGCCAACAAAACTCGCGAGATGCTATTACCTTTTAGAAATTATTATTTGATTAATTACGAATTAATTCATATTATTTTGTGATCTCAAATCAGAGTAAACTAAACTGTCTATAATTTAGAATGATTTTAAATTATTTTAAATGATTCTAAATGGTTTACAATACTTTGAAATCATTAAAACTATAAAATTAGTCTTAAAACACATCAAAAATAACATTTCAATCGTCAATCGTCATAATGAAAAAATTTTTCCTTCAAAATTCCTCCACCAACCAGCCAGTGCACAGTTGGATGTACGTTGCATACCTGAGGGAAGGAAAGCTGTACGTCAAATACAACGGCAATCGTACGTCAGGAAATGACGTCATCGTCATCGACAATGGCGTCAACGAACATTACAGCTATCATGATATATCTAATGATACCAACAGCCGTAATCATGATATATTTAATGATATCAACATCAACAGCAGTTATAATGATATAAAACCTGTTTATGATAAAAACAGTGATGTTATCAGAGATGGTGATGATGTTGAAATTGATGAAGATGATGAAGATGAGAAGGAAGAGGATGATTTTGCAAAAAATGATCTGAGTGGAGATGATATACTATCATCATCGGTGATGATAAATGATGGCAAGGTTCATAGTATCGTCTTGCATGCAGATGATAGCAGGTATCATCAACATTATCATTATTATTTTTATTATTATTATTATTTTTAGTAGTAGTAGTAGTAGAGTAGTAGTAGTAATAGTAGTAGTGGTAGTAGTAGTAGTGGTAGTAGTGGTAGTAGTAGTAGTAATAGTAGTAGTAGTAGTAGTAGTAGTAGTATTACTGCCATCATCATCATCAATTAACACCATCATCATCATCATCAGTGCACATCATCATTAGCATGCACCATTATCATCATCATCACAATCATCATCATCATCACAATCATCATCATCATCACCTACGAAAAAATAAATACCGCCAACAGCTTAACACTGTTCATTGACGATCAATACGTGGATTCAAGAACCATCAACTATGATGATGATGATGATGATGATGATGATGATAATAATAATAATAATAATAATAATAATAATAATAACCTTAACGTAAATAATGACGATGATAATAATAATAATAATAATAATAATACCTTAACCATGTTCTTAGGAGGCATTATACCAGATATTAATCATGACGATTACATTAATAATAATAGCAATAATAATAATAATATCAATAATAATAATAGTTTATACAAATTTGTCCTGAAAATGTTTCGGCAAAAGCCGTTAATAAGTTACAGCTCCCAGCTTGAAGGTCGTAAACGCAAGCAGAAACATAAACAACAGTATAAACAACAGTATAGATCTAAACAACAACAAAAAGTGTTTCATCAACAACAACATACTAAACAACGCCAACGATATCAGCAGCAACTCTCCCACAAACAACAACAACATCATCGACAACAACATCAACAACAACATCAACAGCATCAAAAACATCATCATCAACAACATCATCAGCAACAACATCAACAACAACATCATCATCATCAACAACAACATCAACAACAACAACATCAAAGTCCTCTCCAAGATTTCTATTCATTCCACGGCTGTATATCTGACGTTGTCATCAATGAAGAGTAGGATTGGAAATTTATTGTAGAAAATAATTTTTATCATTACATTAACGAAACCATTGCCATAATTATTTTTTCTTTTCTTCCTCTTCTTCTTCTTATTATTATTATTATTATTATTCGGCCAATAATAGCGTTCTCGTTATTATTATTGTTATTTTTGTTGTTGTTGTTATTTTTCGGCCAGTAAAAGCGTTCTAATTACTTTTTCCCCTATTTTTCTAAAGTTTCCCTCCTTGCATTCGAACCAGGTTACTGCTACTTCAGTGCCAGACACTTAACCGCTTTTACACTACTTTGCGGCCTATTTTGAGACTTCTTCTAGTCACGAAAACCATCTCCACAACAGGCAGATGACAGTGAGTTCGATTGTAGCACTGAGAAATGTTGCCGTCGGCCAGTGTACATCTCAACATTGTTGTCAACGTGATCGCAACACAACGACAACAACGTCATCAACAAATTTTTTCAACATTTCAACTTTTAATTCTAACAATTTAACTATACCCACTACAACTAATATAATAAATAAAAATTTAACAGTTAATATTGGTAGTACATGGAGACCAGTTTTTAATTTTACAAATTTTTTTAATACTTTTTATCAGTGGACAACAACACTAACAACAACAACTACAACAACCATTGCCGCAACCACCACAACGACGCCGGCCACAACAACAACAACAACAACAACGCCAATAGCGGCCGTAACATTAGCGACATCAGTTACGTCAGCAGTTTGTAAGACCGCAACTACTACAACAACCAGAAAATCAACACCAACGACAACAACTCGGCAACAGTTGCACGGTAATGAAGTTGAAGATGACGACGAAGATGACGATGACGACGACGATGATGTCTTTGGTCACGATAACTTATTCACTCCAAATATCAACGACGAATTAAGAGAACTGGATATCTTAATTAACGGACCAAAGAATAAAAAACAAGCAAGTTTTTCAGAATTTTCATGACTATGGTTCTAAAAAAAATTTTGTTCCCACTCTCCCAAGCTTATAAACTCGTTCATTCAAACGAAAATAACTCAGCCAAGAGGCTAACAAAGGAGATTAAAAAATATCGAGTTCATCGTGCCCTTATAGGTTCAGCCAACTTCTCATTAGCTAACATTTTAACGATTTTTACATTGTCGCAATTTCATAGGAAGAAGATGACGACGATGGTGACTATGATGGCGACTATGATGGCGACGATGATGGCGACGATGATGATGACGATGGCTACACAGCCGTTGGCTCTGTTCACGGAAAATTGATGGCATCCCATCAGCACACAGACGGAGTGAACTGCAGTTGGGAGATAGTGAATAAGGTTGAGAAGGGGTCCTTGATGTTTGGCGCCACTGTGGACAGCCACGTGATGCTGACGTTGAAAAAATTCCTGGCTGACCTGAGGTTCGTTGCAATGCTACTACTAAACTTTTTAAGCTGCTGATGTGGCTGCTGTTGCTGCTGTTGCTGCTGCTGCTGCTGCTATTGTTGCTTCGGCTGCTTGCTGCGACAAAATCTCAGAATCTGTCAGTTACGGCAGGCAAGACAATATCATAAAATGAGGAATATAAATAATGGAGTATGATGAGTTAAACATGGCTAACAGAAAAATGAATGTTGAAGACGATACTGATGACGATGTTAAGAATGATGATGATGATACTGATGAAGATGATGATGAGATGGTGATGATGATGATGATGAGGAGGAGGATGATAATGAGGATGATAATGATGAGGAAGATGATGGTGATGGTGATGATGACAATTTTTTCCACAGGCACTACAAAGTTTCCATGAATTTGAAGACATACCACAACGAAGGCCTTATAATCTACATCAATAACATCAATAACAATAATAAAAAAAATAAAAATAATAACATTGAAGACAATTACAATAACATTAATAAGAATAATAATAAGAAAATTATAAGAAAAATTAATAATAATAATAAATTTAATTGGGTCGATACCAATGAGAATAATATTGATGACTGCCAGCCAATCAGCTTGCTCGTCTATATGAAACTAGGTCATGTTTACATCCATCTAAAACGTCAAAGACACTTTTATCATCATGGTGATGTCGACGATGCAGATGATGATGGTGGTGATCCAGTCTACAATGATGATTTTTTTCATGGTGATGATGATGATGAAGATGGTGTTAATCTTAAGAAATCTGTTGGTGTGTACAACGACGGCAATTGGTTTAACGTTAGTTTTGTTGTTTAATCATCATCATAATTTCACATCACCATCATCATAACATCACATCATCATCACCATCATCAGCATCATCATCATCGTCATAACTTCACATCATCAGCATCATCATCATCATCATAATTTTACACCATCATCATCATAACATCACATCATCATCACCATCATCATAATCGTCATAAAATCACAGCATCATCATCATTATAATTTTACACCACCATCATCATCACCATAACTTCACATCCTCATCATCATAACTTCAAGGTGAATCTAAATGTCAATGAATCAGTATACGCGCTAAACATCAATAACACGGAATGGATGTCAGTTACTGCAAATAATAATAATAATCATAATAATAATAATCATAATAATAATAATCATAATAATAATAATCATAATAATAATAATAATGACAATAATAATGACAATAATAATAGTAATGAAATAAGAATTGATAATAAAGAGACCGACGATGATGACGATGATGATGACGATGATGATGGTGTTTATATGTACGTTGGAGGTTTGAGTGGGAAAATTTTGAAACTTATGAACGGCGGAAAAACTAATAATAATAATAATAATAATAAAAGCGATAATAATAATGATAATAATAGTGATGAAGACAACTATGTAGATGATAATATGAACAGCGATGATGACGTCATCGAAAATGATGATGATGATGATGAAATCGAAAAAGATAATATGGACCGCCTAGCTGATGATGATGATGGGGATGATGATGGTGGTTATGATGATGATAAGTTGGGTAACAAAAAAGTTGATGATGATGGTGGTGATGATGATGAAAATATTGATAGTGATGATAATGATGAAAGCTTTAACGGAAGAGATGGAGCTGTTAACAAACTGGCCGTTAGCATTTTAATTATTTTTTTAATACAGTTCGCTAATTGATTTTGAAACAGTTTTTTAATTGAATGAATCAAAACTGCATATTAGAATAACTAAATTCAAATAAAATAGAATCAAATCTAAATAATTTAATTGAATAATTGAAAAAAAAACATTTATATATTTAAATTCGGATTTAAATTTTTGGTAATTTAAAAAAGTTATATCTTCCAGCTGAACAGTTTCATCGGCTGCCTAACGAACTTCAGAATCAACGAAAGGCTTATTGATTTGGTCAACTCTGGAGCATTCCACGATGTTCAAAGGTCACTGACCTCATTATCGATTAATCAAATAACGTCATCAATGACATCATTCTTCTAATTTTTTTTTTTGCTATAATTTTTGCTAACTAAACAAATCATAAATTAAGATGATAGAAGAAAAGCAAGCATAGAAACACTGAAAATAAGTTAAATATATTTTTTGTGTACTATAAACTATACTAGGGATGGGACGAATTTAAGAACTTGAGATCCGTAGTATTTGGTATCGGAATCCGAATTTTTATGATGAATCCGGACGGATCCGAATGCAATTGGCATACGGTTTTAAAACCAAAAATGCCGTTTCAAAATTAAACAACTTGGTGCTTGTGAAACTTTCTTCTGGCAAACCAAACAAATAATTCTAAAACACACATGTGTCATTTTGTATGTAGTAATTTGAAGAATATATATTGTTGTTGATATTTAGATTCACTTTTTCCGCCAATCTAAAATTTTTTTCGCTCTCTAGGTTGATTTTTGACCCGTAAAATGGTGGATCCTCAACTTTGGATCCGCGAATCCGAATATTTTCCGAATCCCTGGATTTGGTCCAAATCCCAATTCGGAACCGCCGCATTCCTAAAACATAAATTCTGTTACATATATGTATACTGAATTTATTTATTTACTTAATAATTAATTAATTTATTTATTTATTTGAAATATAAATATTATCTTCATAGATGTTTCACGAATATTGAAAGGGGAGCATTTTTCAACGGGCAAGCATACGCCATTTACGGTGAATTATGATTGGAGGGTTGAATGATTGGTGACGTGTTTTGATTGGTTGGTTGATTTAGGTCGGTGATGGATTAATTGAAATGATTGGTTGCTTAAGAAAATGTTCACAAGTATTTCCGAAGAACAAATTTTACAACAATAGCTTCGAGCTGTTCTTGATATTTTTTGTATTTTCATTACCAATTTGACGTCATATCACGTGCTATCTGTGTGATGCATTGGTTCACGCATTATGAGAGAGTTAGTTATACTCAGTATCGTAATCGTCATCAACATCATCGTCAACAACAACAACAACAACAACAACAACAAAAACATCTTCAACATCAGCACTATCATTATTATCTTCAACATCACTGTCTACAACATCACCAGATACGAAGATGAAATTTTCATCATCCTTCTCTCTCTCCATCCACGTCAAACTCCAGCAACCAAATGGAATCATCCTGATGATAACAAATGATGAACTACTCATTAACATCGCCCTGGTCTTTATAGATGGATTGGTTAGTCGGATGGATGGATGGATGGATGGATGGACGGACGGACGGACGGACGGATGGTTGGATGGATGGATGGATGGATAGTTGGATGGATGGATAGTTGGATGGATGGATGGATGGATGGATAGATAGATAGATGGATAGATAGATGGATGGATGGATGGATGGATGGATGGATGGATGGATGGATGGATGGATGGATGGATGGATGGATGGATGGATGGATGGATGGATGGATGGATGGATGGATGGATGGATGGATGGATGGATGGATGGATGGATGGATGGATGGATGGATGGATGGATGGATGGATGGATGGATGGATAGATAGATGGATGATTGATTGATTGGACAATTTATTCGTTGGTCGGTTTTTGTTTTTCAAAAAATGGATCTAGCCTCCACAAAGGATAAATTTTAATTTTGATAATAAATGCGTGAATAGAAGATAGGTCATAAATAGTTTGAATTAATGATCAAACAATTAAAGAAATTTCAATCGATTTTTATATTTAATGAAAGAGTTGGCACAAATGTCCGATAATGACGTATAGCTGGCGAGTTAGCTCAGACAGTAAAAGAGCTGCCTCTCACGCACAATGTTAATGCTTGCTGGCCTGGTTCAATTGCTGTTTGTGCAAATCTCAACATCATACACCTGCATACGTTTATTTTGAAGTTTTGACGTTACGACTTTCATGGTGCGTAGATTAAATTGCATCCAGGTAAATGAAGAACAATATGCGTGTCGCCCTACTACTGTTGGATCTGCATGAAACATTTGTTGGTTTAATCGGTAGATTAGTGTCCCCACGCAATGATGACTGACCAACAACCATCCAACGACTGACCAACCATCCAACCACTGACTAACCATCCAACAACTGACCAACCATCCAACGACTGACTAACCATCCAACCACTGACTAACCATCCAACAACTGACCAACCATCCAACGACTGACCAACCATCCAACAACTGGCTAACCATCCAACAACTGACTAACCATCCAACAACTGACCAACCATCCAACAACTACCCAACAACTAACCAACAACCATTCAACGACTGACCAACAACCATCCAACCAGCCACTTTCAATCCAACCCACATGCAGCTCTCTTTCAAAGCCTCCGATCCAAGCTCCATGCATCTCATCCAATCCAACTGTCAGTTCTGTTTCTGCAACAACAGGTGGCACCACATAGTGGTCAAGTTTTTCAACGGTAAAAAAGCGACGATGGTCGTGGATGGAGGTCAGCCTCTGGTCAGCGTCAGCATTGGTTCTTTCGTGAACCGCCAGTTCACAGCAGAAGTTTACTTTGGAGGCTACCCTGGTAGGTTTTGAGACTGGGAACATTTGTGCAATGAAGACTTAAATTTAATTTCACCTCAATTTTAATGAATAATGTTACCATTTAAAACTCTTCGGACATTTAATGCCGTAAAATCTTTTTTTTACAACTTTTCAGAAATCATTTTTTAAATATTGATTATACAATTCATTTTATAAATAAACAAACTATAAAATATTTCATAAATGGCAACTTTATAATGCACCAAGCTGATAAATCCGACTACGACACCCTTGACACAACGGATTCCGCTTCCGGATGCATGAAGGATATAAAAATCCGGAACAACAACAACAGGACAGTTGTCAGCGTTGACTGGATGTCGGCTGAACATTTGGAGGAAGTTCAACTCGTTGGTTGTCCAACATAATGTTGTTGCTGTTGTTCTTGTTGACGGCTGGAGTTCAATACATTGAATGTTTACTCAGATAATTATATATATATATATATATACATATTGTCGCAATTTGTGATGGTAACTGTCATACTTTAAACATTTTAAATTATTTTCATAAATTATGTCCTAAGAGGTTATTAAAAGTTAGAGATATGAAATGAGATGATATGAACTGCAAGAGATAAGTCCCTAAAAGTTATTTTCCTCCCAGAGGAAAATAACTTTTAGGATAACTTTTAACTCTCGTTATTTTGTTTTTTCTTTCAACTGCAATCATTCATTTATTTCTTGAAATTATTTTTCTTCACGTTCGTTTTTTACAAAATAAATTTCCAGTTTTTTAGATATATTATTTTTACGACAAAATTTTTTAAATTTACATAAGAAAAAGTTGGACTTTAATAATGAAAAATTTTCAAATTTTTGAAAATTGCCTCGAAAAAACATGACGCGTTATACATTTTTCTATCAATTATTTCAGCATTTGTAAGTTTCTGTATACGATTTTTGTATCTTCAAGTTGGTACTACTTTTTCATTCACGTACATCATCTCGTCGTGCAACTACTAATCAAGTTTTTAGTGAGTTGTTTTATTTTCTGTGATATTTTTAAAAAATAGTGTTTCAAAACATAACAACCAGCCAGTTGGTTAACAATGTTCCGTGGCGGGCAGTTGGATGGATGTTTGTTGTTTGTAATATTTCAAATAGTTTTTATTAGGTTTTTTTATTATTTTTGAAGAGGTGCTGTTGCAGAAGTATTGAATATTTAGCATTTAATTTTACAATTCTTTGTAATTATACGTAATAATTGTTTTATGTTACTGTCATTATTGTCTACTTGAAAGTTCAAGCACTTTGTTAAAAAATGAGGTTGAAGCTTTGAAAAGACGCTGATGATTTCATTTGAAACTTCTTTAGGTGCATATCGCCGGTACAATATTTTAAGCCAATACGAGGTTTTAAAAATTATAAATTATGATGAGAACGTGCTTATTTGCTGAAAATAATATATGTGTGTGTGTGTATGTGTGTGCGTTTGTGTGTGGTGTATGTGTGTGTGTACATGTGTGTGTACACTACGCTTTTTTGAAATACCACAACATCAATTATCTGAGTTTGGTTCTGTCTGCTTCTCCAGTCCCAAGTTCATCATTTATCATCTGCTTCTGCACCCAACATGGAGTTTGAGGAAAATGTGTTTGATTAATCAATAATTTGTCTGCCTTTTCACATAATTATTAGTTTATTTACTTAGTTTATTATAACTTTTAATTCTACTTTTATCGTAAAATTAAATTTTTCGTAGTTAAATTCAATCGAGAGAGGTACACGCATGTTTACACGCGTTCATCGAATAGTGTTATAGTCTTATAGTTAAGTTGATATGTTAGTTCTCAATTCATGGCGTTTTGTAACTTGCGTTCAGCTTATCTCCACAGCACTTGTGTTGGTGTCATCAAATTTGTAATCGGTATAATGATGCTAATTACTACGTC